GGGGTCCCGGGCCCCCCTTCCTTTGTTCTTCCCGCTATTTGCATGAGGATTATCTAATGACGCAGCAAGGCTCGCCACAACGTGACCGTCGCCATTTTTCTGTTTTTATTCTAGCTCTGCCATGTGATAGATTGGGGAGGGGGGTGGAAAAGGGAGAGAGACAGGATTGAAAAAAAAAAAAAAACTTCCGGGTCTCATGACCGGGAAGGGAGAAAAACAAAAGGGAGACGAGACACAACTCCCGGCGAAGGCCTTGGTGCGTGTGCGCGCGTGCGCGCCCGCCTCTCCCGGCCCCGGAGTCGGAGGCTGGGGCGCTCAGAGCATCTTCCCGCTAGGGTCCAGTGACCCGGCCGTGCGGGCCGCGTGCTCGCTCCTCCCTTCTGCCAGATACCCGGTTGCCAGCCCTCGGCTGGCTCCAGCGGCCCAGGGTTCCATTCAATTGAGAAAATTGAAAGACCGCTTCGTTTTCCTAAGTTGTAAAACAGTACGCTCCGCTCCGATGCTGGTCCTTGCGACCACCGCGTGGCGAGGGCAAGACGAATCAGACCCGTTCAGATTTTCTTTCTGCTTCCTTTTTGCTCTTTTCCCAAAGCGGCACGTGCAGCTTAGGTGTGATTTGTGGCGTTGCGGACTTTGTTGTTGGGTTTTTTTTGGTGGTGGTGGTGGGGCATGCATCACGGCTGAATTTATTGAGGTAGAATTTTTAAATAAATGGTTGTTGAGTGCCAGGGAGGGTTGAGAAGACAGTTGAAGAGCTCTGGGTGGATTCGCCTTTTACCATGTTAATTCCCATTCACGGGACGTGAAAGGTGCCCCGAGTTCATGGCTGCTGAAAGGATAAATGCCTGGAACTCTGCCAGGTCTCTCAGGGACAGAATTTGGTACTTTAGGTTACTAGTCTGTTTCCTGGAGCTTTCACTTTTGTTTCTCTTCTCTGAGTGCCTCTCTTAGGATTGAAAGCAGAAGTAGACGGGAACATTGACTGGGCTGAGAAACACAGCGCAGCGCCAGACCAGATCATATTAGACCCCAGTTTAGATTGAGGCGCATCTGAGATCTTGAGTGGGTAGAGGGGAGCATAGTCTGTGCAACTGTGGTCCCGTTTGTAACGTTGTGTGCCTAGAATTTAAAGATGGAGAACTCTCAGAAGTGCTGATCCTTCAGGACCGTCGCGGGGTTCATGACCTCTTTCCCAACCTTCTCTCTTGAGATTTGACTCAAATACGGTGAGCTCGCCTTCCCTTCCCCTTCTGCTGGGGAGCTTGCCTTGTCATTGAACATGGCTACATGTTTGCAGTGAAGCGTTTCTGTTCTGTTCACAGAGTTGACAGGTCTCCTCCTTGTGCCATTGTGCCCTTGTAGCATTTATTTCATGGTGCCGTTCAACATCGGTATTCAGGACAATGACTGCATTTTCCAATACTGGGGACAAGCTTTGAGAACCACAGCTGTCTCCAGTCATCACTATTTTCTGACCATGAAAGCCAAGGGAGGCCCGAAGCAGACCTTTCCCACAATCCCATCCTCACCAGGCTAGGAAATTCTTTGCATGCTTCCGGGGAAGGTTGGACACTGGAGACGTTTTATGGATCTTACACCTTTGCCAGCCGTTCTTGGCGGGCTCCTTTAGTTACACATCCAAGCAAAACATACTTTGTTCTCTCAACTTTTTAACTAACTGCTTTTCCCCATCTTACTTTTACTATATTTGGCTCCTCTCCTTTAAATTCTTTCTGATTCAAATAAATGAATTAGTTATGCTAACTCTTACTGCTCTGCTTTCATGGACTAGACTACGAATGCTTGGTGAACTTTGTGCCGTGATTTAATCGTATTGAGCCTAGAATCAAATCATAGGCTCCATAACCCAGGGCCTCATGTGTGCTAGGGAAACACTGCCCCGATCGGCACCCCTGAGTCACAGAACTCCAAGATCTGGTAAACAGGCCAAAAAGGGCGGTTGAAGTTATTCTAGCATCAGGACAGGGTGCCCATTCAACAGATTGGAAAATAAATGCTTCATACAATTCTGTTTAAGCTCCAAAGAGCATTATGTATTTTTAAAGTGGAGAACATATGTATTTGGATCTGCAAGATTCTGTTGCATAGCTGAGTTTATATGTGTCTATGAATAGGACAAATAATAGCTAAAGGCCCCCAGGTGCCACTTCAGAGAACAGCAGGATGATCATAACTTAGCTTTAACATCAGCAGCTTCTATTGAGGTGGGGAGACACCCAATTATATAACTAAATCATCTGGTTTTTGGGGGTTTTTGTTGTTGTTGTTGTTGTTTATTTTTTTGAGACAGAGTTTCTCTGTGGTTTTGGAGCCTGTCCTGGAACTAGCTCTTGTAGACAAGGTTGGCCTCGAACTCACAGAGATCTGCCTGCCTCTGCCTCTCATCTGTTGTTTTAACTATAAAACTATAGAGGAAAAAATGGATGAGAACTCCAAGAAAGCAATTATAGGAAACGCCCCCATGTCTCTTGCCATCCGTATGTGAGTCCTCACACATCAAGCAGTCCTCACAATATACATAGCTACTGACTCACCGGAATCCCAATAATCTCCTTCTAATTGTCAAATGTATACTTGAAAAATACTCATCACTGGTGTCCTAGTGAGGGCACGGGCTTCGATGTCATTCACTGGTTACTTTGGTGTTGCTGCGGTTAATCGCCATCCGCCGTGATAAAACACTATGATCAAGGCAACCTACAGAAAGAAGGGTTTATATGCGATTGTGGTTCCAGAGGGACAAAAGTCCATCGTGGAGGAGAGGCCTAACAATACACAGATGTGGTAGCAGATGCAGGAAACTGGGAGTTCACATCGTCAACAGCAAGCAACAAGCAGAGCGAGCAAACTGGATACGGTAGGAAGCTCCTGATCCCAAAATCTGCCTCCAGTGACACAGTTCTTCCGGCAAGGCTGCCACATCCAAACATCCCCAAACAGAACCAGCAACTGGAGATCAGATGTCCAAATGTCTGAGACTATGAGGTCTCTCTCTCTTGCACACGCTCGCTCTCGCTCTCTCTCTGTTTTTTGAGACAAGACTGCTCTGTGCAGCTCTGGATGTCCTGGAACTCACCAGACTGACCTCAAATTCACAGAACTCCTACCTGTCTCTGCCTCCCCCGACTGAGAATAAAGGTGTGTGCCACCACACCCAACTGACATTTCTCTTTCAAAGCACCACAAGCCAGTGCTGAGTTCGGCTCTGACAATCTGTTAACTGTGTCCTCTTGAGCGAATTTCTTCTCGGTTGTGGTTTTTACTTCTTTATCCTTACGATGAGCATAACACTGACCTTAAATTATGAAGAATTTTTAGGATTGGAGTTTAATGAAATTACATGGACCACACTAACCATGGTATTCGGAACATAATCTTCACTAAAGGATGGCTAGTCCGGGAGTGGCTCATGCTGTAATCCCCAGCACTTGGGAGGCAGAGGCAGGGGGATCTCAAGTTCCAGGCTACCCAGGGCAGTATTGCAGTAGAAAGACTCTGTCTCAAACAGAAGGAAGATTCAACGCACTTACTACTAATGTAAAGTTCTGTGACATAAAATAATCCATACAAGCTTCTGCCCTCGAGACATTCATATGTAACCCGGGGGAGATGTATACAGGCGACTAGACGAATAGGTGGGCTGGAAAAAACAAACAAAATACTGCCCACCGCTTTGTGGTGATCTGCCTGAGATGTAATTAGGATCTAGCCTTATGACTATCCACACAATAACGAAGCCTGTAGGAGCATATGCCAAACGCCTCCTTCTCTGAAACGATGAAAAGTTACCCTCTCATACCAATGAAGACCATTACCTTTGAAACTCGGTCTAGTTGGCGTGATTCTGCAGTTTTAAGAAGCCGTTTCTCGGCGGGTTTCTTTCACCCCGTGGGAAGTATGCCAGCTTGTATCTTTGAAGGACTGTTGGAGAAATGTAGTTAATAGGAAGCCCTTCTGGTTGTTAATTAATTCAAACAGTTTAATCAAGAACCATCTTCGAAGGCACTCGTTCGCGGCCCCGAGTCAGGTGCTAAGAAACTAGCATGGTGAAGATAAGGACTTTGCTCTGCAAGAGCGCCTAATCCAGCGCTGCTTTATTAAATAAATATGAAGTCATTATTCACCATGGGAGATTCAGCAATGGACAAGACACTGAGCTTCATCTATTGGGAAATCTGGCAAGTTAATAGTACACTTATTTGCTCAAATTCTTCAAGAAATACGTGATTGGCTGGCAATAACCCACACCTGTAATTCCAGCATTTGAGAGACAGAAACGAGAGACTCAGGAGTTGAGGGCTCTTCTCGGCTACAAAACGAGATTGAGACCAGCTTGGGTTACGTGAGACCCTGTCCGAAGAAATAAAGGAGTATAAAATGAACAGTGTGTGACTGGCACACAGTTTGAGCAAGAAAAAAATACACATAACCTATGATTATGGTTTTTTAGGTCTCCCTGAAAGCTTTTGTTTCTCCAAGACAGAAATTACCTTCGAAAGAGATAGTTTTAG